TACCAACATTAACTGTGTGAATTAAAAGGAGAAATAAATGAGTGGTACGTTAAACTATTAGTCATTTACTGCTTGAAAGGTAACACCATAATGGTTATAATATGTATTTTAATGAATATGAACATGAGTTAGTTACTTAATATTTTATCAAATAATGGGAAAAAAAACCCTAAACATATTAATATTATAAACAATATAAAGGTATATTTTTTATCAAATATATTATTATCGTAAATAAGATATTTTGACAGCAACGCCATTATATAAAAACACGTACAAAAATTGACGCAATACATATAAATGTGCTCTAATTCTTTTAACAGATAAAATATTATTTGTGAATAAAATAAAAAAACAAATAAAAAAATAGTAATGTAATGGGGAATAGAAGAGGTCAGGATTTTCTTACAGAAATATGAATACCAATATCTAGCAAAAAAAAAGTCTTTTAAAATGACTACTTTTATGTTTCTAGCATTTAATATATAGGCTCTGTAAGATATTGGCTCTCATAAATAATGATCTTATATTATCAGTTTTGAATTTTAAATAATTAAAATTAAAAAACTTTATACATAATGCAAATTTTAATAATAATTTTGTAATAATAAAGTTTCCAGATGGCTAAGAGTATCATAATATAATAGAATTCTAATTATTCTTCTCTAAAATATTGTAACAATTGATATACTTCTCAATATTGTTTCATTGTTTTGTTTTGTCATTGTTGAAAAATCAATTAAGGATCTTTATCTTAGATTTCCGAAGCATTATATATGACGTGAAATATTGAACATTAAAAACATAAAAAAGTTATTAGGTGTATAAATCTTGCAAGTCCGAACGAATGTGAAAGATATTATAATAAACAACTCTATAATCATTGCAACAAACCAGATGGTCAATGATTTGCAAACGATTATATAGTTCGTCTATCTTCCAAATAAATAACACTAAGAAGAAAATATTGGAGCCTGTTCAAAACATTTTTGAATATTTGAATGAAGTTGCCACATTTTGATAGGGATACTTTTTGATAAAGCAATGTTTTAAAAGTCAAACCGGACCGGCCAGTTCGACCAGGAACACGCAATATACCGGTCCGATTTGAGGTGCACAACTGTTAGAGACCAAAACCGGGTGAAAACCGCTTAAACCAGTTAAAAATCACCAAAATTGTTTAACCGGTAATGATTTTCCGAGTCCAGCGATCCAGTTGAGGTCTTGTGCTAAGTTAGTTGTGAAACCATTTAAATAGTTGCCTTTTTTCTTATGTCTTTTCGATGTGGGATAAAATGTTGGGAAATTTTCATCTATCCTACAAGATTTAGATTTATTTGCGATTTTGCAGCTACTATAAATTTAATTTCATATGTACCTAAAACTATTGAATTAATTGGAGATTTACTTGATTTCAGTTACTATACAAAAAAATGGTGACTCATAAGAGAGAGAAATGAAAATAAATAACTTATACTCATTTAATTCCTTAATTCGCGCAACTAGAATTCCTTAAGTCACGCAGCTGTCAGGTGGTACATATTGCGTTTATTTTGGTATATATTCAGTATATATTGCAATCAGTTTATGCTAGCTATAAATTAATTTTATACATAAAAATTATATCTCGCAATAATTTTTTTTATCATATACCGAAAATATACTGAATATAAACCATACATATAAAAAAAATCAATTTATGCTTTGTCAAAATTGTTTTCTAATACATGACATATACTGAACAGTGTACAAAAAAATCTTCTAATATATTGAACATATATTGACGTGATCATATACTGTACATATACCGTAGATATACTGCACATATACTACAATCCAAAGTCTGCGAATTTCAATGTAATCTACACACAGTCAAATATCCCTCAACAAATCGAAACAAAATTCAATTTTCCTGCATCAATGGCTCGCCCGGGATTTTGCTGGTGACGGGCTCGGCCCCAAACCCTTGCAAAAACGCCGTCGGAGACCATTACCTTCTGAAATTCCTCAAGAATAAGATCGATTACCGCAGGATCCACGGGATCGAAATCGTGTATAACATGGCTAATCTTGATAAAGAAATGATCGGATATTGGGCAAAACTCCCTCTAATCAGGCAGCTAATGTTATCCCATCCTGAATTCGAGTGGGTCTGGTGGATAGACAGTGATGCCCTTTTCACAGACTTCACCTTCGAGATACCCTTCTCGAAATACAAGGATCACAATATGATCCTCCATGGAAATCAAGAGTTGCTTTTTCAGTAGCAATCTTGGGTATCTCTCAACACTGGAATTTTCCTGCTGAGAAATTGTCAATGGTCTCTTGATTTGCTCGATGCTTGGGCTCCAATGGGGCCAAAGGGGCCTGCCCGTGAAGAATCCGACAAAATTCTAACAGCCAATCTGAAGGGTCGGCCGAAGTTCGAAGCAGACGATCAGTCAGCCTTGATATATCTCTTAATTTCGCAGAAACAAAAGTTGGCAAGCAAAGTATATATCGAAAATTCCTATCTTCTGCACGGATTTGAGCGGCCACCTTGAGCGAGGATGGTGAAATGGGGAGGGCCGTGGGAGGATGTTGCAGAAGAAAAGAAAACGGAGAAGGAAAAGAAAATGAGAAAAGAAAAGAAAAAGGTATTAATTATCTCAATTAATCAATAATTGATTCAATTCCATATTTAAATCATAATTAATAACTTATAAAATCTGGTATATGTGTAAATATGTTGGGTGATTTTGTATCCTTGTATTAATTGGGTGTAAATATGTAACATAAAAAATATATGATTGTATAGGGTGTAAATTCTTCTAAAATGTTTTCTCAATTTATTGGGCTATTAGCGGGCCTATTTTCTATGTTAGCTCTCAAAGCAAGCGCCTCATTGCATTATTATTATTGGGCCTTGGCTGAAACTCATTAATTAATGAGAAAATTACTCCTCACACGATATATCCGAACTTTTATTGCATTCCTACTAGACACTCATTTTTATTTGTAAAATTACTAAACCTAATTTATGGGATCTGTTACCTAATTTCATGAGATTTAATATCCCAACACTATTTCACTCTCTATCTCTCTCTACCGCCCTCGTTTCTTCTTCTTCTTCTGCTCTTCTTTCATTTATTTATTTTTTCTCTTCCTCTTGAATTGATTTCTTCTCGCGATTTATCTCTATCTTTCCCTCTCTAGTTTCCTCTTCTTCTTCTTCTTCTTCTTCATTTAATTTTTTTCTCTTCTCCTTTAATTGATCTTTTTATCTTTTTTTTTTCGATCGGTCCCGACTAGACTCGACAGTCCGCCGAGGCCGATATTGATGTCACGACGACTTCACGCCCTAGCACCGGCCGCAACCCTAGCCCCAAGCTCAATCGTGCTAATACCGTTTCAATCCATGGAGATAACACGGTGAATATATTCGATGGCAATTAAACATAAAAAAATCCAACCTTTTCGTGGATAGAGAGAGAGAGGAGACTCGAGAGCGAGAGGTAGCCTATGGGAGAAGGAGAAAAAAGATGCATAGAATTAAGAAAAAGGTGTAAAAAGAGAAGTTTCAATTTTGTCTGAAGAAGAAACACAGAGCAGAGCTGCTTCACTGTGCCTATATCTTCCGATCGATCGAAGGATCTGTTTTCTGTAATTCGTGCAATTTTTGAATGTATAAATTCGTTTTTTTTTTAAGGTTTTGTGATTGTATATTTAAAATTTTACCCCATTTTTTTCTCGAATTTTCGGCGTTGTTGTGTTTGCCCGTGTGAATTAAGTGTCTATTCTCTGTAATTGTTTGTGTTCGCCGGAATATTGGGCGGCGAATGTGTTCGTAACTATCGGTATTAGGGTTTGCGTATTGTAGTTCGTGGTGAATTACTGGGATCTCTATACACGCCGGCAGATTATAGTATACAGTATATTTTTTTTGTATATGTTCTGTATATCTTCAGTATATATTTTATATATATACAAGATTAATTTATCTTCTGTTATTTTATTTATGTCGTCTGTATATAATGAGTATATCTTCTGTGTATATAAGTCTGATCGTGTATTTTATTTATAAAACCAAAAAAATATATACACTTACATATTAAGTATATAACACGATTATGTTATGTATATGTACATGAATGATATACTATATAGACGTACATATTAAGTATATAACACGATTATGTTATTTATATGTACATGAATGATATACTATATACACTTACATGTTAAGTATATAACACGATTATGTTAGGTATATATACATGAATGATATAATTACAGTATACCGAGTTGCAACTCTGTAATTGTTTTCAAGATTGTATATGTGGTGTTTATATATTATATATATTTTCCAGCCTTACTTCATCATTTCAACACAAAATTAAAAAAGAAAAGAAAATAAAAAAATCGTATATTTTCCAGCCTTAGATCATCAAAATGGTTTGATATTCCCGATCATGTAGTTTTTGCGTGTTTAAAATATTCTGTTGTTTGAATTTCAAGTGTATTATAATTCTGTTTCTTTTTTGAACAGATTCCTATTTTCTAGGATATATAGTCCTAATATATAGAGAGAGATTTATTATTTTGTAATGCATAACCAAATCCCTATTGTCACGCAATTTAAGGAGCCGTTTCTTCTTTTTGTTTGTAACTGGTATATTGTCTCTTTGCAATTAAAATCCATACAACTCGTAGGATTGCAATTAAAACTTGTATCATCATTATATTGCAATTAATATGTAATCACGTAGTAGATGTAAAATTTCGCCTTTATTAATACACCTGCAAGCAAGATTCCTGTGCACCACATCCCCACTAAAATATTATCCAATTTAAAGTAGAAAGACCAATAAGCTGACAAATTTGGACATTACATAAGCCTGTATGAGTTTGACAGTTTATTACAAAATGCGTTCGTTACATAAGTATGTAAGGACAGTTTTTTAATTCATTTAAAAAAATGTCATTATATACTATAAAATTAATGGTAAAAATATATACAATTATATATTATAGATATAAAATAAATAAAAATTAATATTAATTAAACCAGTTTGAATATACTTGTTTTCATATGGCATGAGTTTCTTCTTACAGGACAGGAGAAACAATTTTCAGTACATCTCTTCCAACATCTTCCTACAGTAATCACATTCAACTAGGCTCCCTGCTACAACAAAATCTATAAATGTTTGTATGTACACTCAACTAGTCATCCCATGAACACCTTAAAAACAGAAGAGTTTGTCGATGCAAAAACAAAAAGTATTGCTATCATCTTTTACTTCTCTTTCCCCACCATTTTCTTTTATGCTTCTCAGCCTCACTGTGTGCCATCCTGTGCACTTTGTCCTTTGCCTCCTTTAATCGGAGCTTATAGTCTTTCTTCCAAGCTTCGAACCTATGTTTCAGCCTCCTGAATTCCTCTATGGGATTCAAAGAATTCAAATGCCCAGAATTCACCTCCATAATGGCATGAGCTTCCTCATCAAAATTCTGCTTCCTTTGTTCAAACTCCTTCACGAGTAGACTGACCGGATTTAAGCATCCGTTTGTTGCACCATCTAACCCGTTGTTAAGAAATCTGATAGGTGTGCTGCCACCTGGAGTATGAGTTCCCAGTGACGTGTCCTCAGAATCGTAATAATGAGGTGACATGGCCCCAGATTGGCGTACGCTATTGTCAGCACCTACACTCCTTTTTGATTCAGCTAGACTCATCTGAAATACATAAACAAAGTGTAACTAGCTTTTTTCCCACACATTTTTTTCTTTTTTTATTAGAGTTCTTTTTAGTTATTAAGGGAGAGATTGGAGACAAATTATATCCAGCTTTGTCTTACCGGATTTTTGTTTGTTTCTACTCAATATGTGATTGGGTATAAAATTTTCGAAAAAAATTACTTCTCATCTACTTCTACTTTTTTCTTCTCAATTTTATCAACTCGCTTAAAAAACATAAGTCAATCAATACTTAGGGCGTGCTTGTTTACAAATTAATCCGTTCAAAATGAGTTTTTTTTAGTTAACTAGGGTCAAATTTGAAAAAGGTGGTATATTTGTTAGTGGAATTTTGAGTTTATATTAAAATAATTAAAGTTGATTTGACGTAAACGTAGGAGAGAAATGATGTGAAATGATGGTTATTTAAAATTATGTAAGTGGATGAATAGTGAATTAAAGTTGATGTGATGTGTAATAATAATTGATTTGTATTATTTAACTATATGAATAATATTAAGGATAGTAGCGGGGAAGCCGCAGAACCGTAAGTAGTAAGATTAATTGTCATAATAATAATAAAAATAATAAATAGGTCGAAATTAAAGCCCCGGTATTTATTACCAATCTGAATTGGACCATAATGGAATTTCAGTCTATACCGGCACCATTGTAAAAAAACACCTCCTTACACATTTTGCAACAAAATGCACTATTTATCCACTTACATATTTTTACCCGTCAATCATTTACAATCATTATTTATTGTTTTTTATATCACATTAACTTTAATCATTGTATTTAAGCTCATAGCCATTCAGAAACTGAAAAATAATTCATTCTTCCTCCCAAAATAATCTTATATCATCTCTTTTCCTTTTTTCCATATGATTTGATTTTAGGGACCACCAAATGGGTTGGGTTAGGATCAGATGGTCTCAATGTTTCCTCTAGCAAATTGTTTGTTAGAACAACAGACAAACTCACCTGTAGCGATGCAATCTGCTTTTGCCACATGTCCTCCATGGTTTTCATCTTGGCTTCATATTCCAACCAGCGTGCCTCAAATTGTTTTACCTGCTCTTTCAGATCTGCATTCTCTTTTTCCTGGTGTCCTATTGTTGCCTCAGCTACCCATATCCGCTTCTGAAGTTCTTCGACAACCGGAGGTAATTTTTTAGATGATTGATCCTGCTAAACCCATATAAATCATCATTATATTCCATACAAACTGAAAATAAAAGAACAAAGAAAACACCCATATGTAGATTTACGAGTCGAAATTGGGAACAAAAAGGCAGACTTCAACAGGACGGAAAAAATAAGTAAGTGAATAAGAATGAAAAGTGTTCACCTTGACTTCAGGAATCTTACTGCCTGGTTTAGGTTTACTGACATTTACTTGCTCTGAACTCCTGGGATGGCTAAAATGCTTTCGGGCCAAAAATCCACGAATTACTGCACAGAACAAGAGAACGTTAGCTTCACAAGAGGAACCAACATATTGTATTTATCGAGCACTAAACCTAGACACACACACACACAAAATTAAAAAAAAAAAAAAAAAAATAGAAGAAGAAGAATGCTTACCAGATTGTATCTGCACAACTGCAATTAGGTGCTTATCCAGCTTCTCACGAGCAGCCTGCCTTTTCTGCTGGAGTGAACTGTATTTCTTCCTTGCAATTTCAGCACGAACATCTGCATATTTTATATTTTGTCACCGTACAATGTGGTTATACCATAATGGTACTAATAGCTTTAGGGAGCTGTATATATAACAAACACAACCCCAAAGTTTACACTAATCCCTTGCTTGTTTACCTCCTGTAGCTCATTTTTGTTTAGCATAATCTCTCTTGTTCACTTTATTTCTTTGGACAAATCAAGATTAGTCAAAATAGAGTTTGACCTAACACTGCAGTTCAGACCTAGTTGATCCTGATTTGAAATATAAGAAATACCTCCTATTCTTTTTAAATGTCATTTTGGCTTTATCAACTATTAACCAAAATAAATGTCGTTTTGGATCTTTTGTACATATTTTTCCATTATTACCCTCATTTAGTTAATAAATACACTACGTCTTTTCATATTCTCTTCATCTTTTTTCTAAAACATCTATCTCTATCTTCATTAATGAGGGTTATTATTGGCAAAAAAATTATTCTTAATTATTGTGCAACTTTCCAAAACGACACTTATTATGAATAGGAGGGAGTATATTGTAATTTTTCCAGTTAAGGAACATAATCTGTGTCTTGGGAATTATATGCACGAGTTCCCTCTTAATTATGCAGGTTTTGATTCTCAACAAAGGAGCAGGAAGTATTACAAACTCAAACTCATAAATATGAGCAATAAAGCAAAATCTGTAGACAATCTCAAATTCTGTTAAAAAAAAAAAAGTAGATAATCTCAAAATGAGCAATAAATTTTAACATTGATTCCACAGAAACTACCAGAGCAGGATGAGTATTTTCTGTTCACTTGATCACTTTCAAAAAAGAGATGACCAACTATAATGACAAGACAAGGCATTTGATTCGGAACTCACATGATTGCAATGTTACTGCTGCTCTTTTGAGTATATGGATGTCTCTACGACTATTATCCTGAAAAAACTTCTGCACCTCAACTTTACCTTGCAGAACTTGCCTCCTAACATCTTCCAGGGGACTAATCTGTATACCAACACAGATGAATATAAGACCAACTGAGGATCTTTTTTTTTTTTTTTTTTTTTTTTTTTTTTTTTTTTCTTTTGTTTGGAGAAAAAGGGATCCAGAAGGAGTATTGAAATGGACAAAACCGGGAAAATCTTTGCAGAAATGTGAATATTTAGTTTACACACTCTCATGACTCACTTGGCCTGCCCGGAAGTATAACTTTGTATAACCAACTTGGTACACTTCTGGACGGATACCAAACTGCTGCAGAATAGCTATTGACATACTTAGGGGATCTTGAAAGGCAATTTTGTCTGGGAGTAAGACACCGTACCTAAAGTAATGCCAACATGGTATGATAAGTTCTGAATTTTTTACTTTAATAAATGGAAACTAAGAGACTGCACTTCACCTTTCAGAAAATTCTTGATGGGTCATCCGAATAGGGTACCCATATCTCCAAATCCGGACAGCCTCTAAAATCCCGGAGTATCGAAGCTGCTCCAAGGTGAGGTCTTTTTCAAACAGACCAGGAGTCTGCTTCCTGTTTGGCTTTATACAATGAATGAAGTGAGGTTTTGTCTTTTCAAGATGCTGCACCAATTCAAACAGCTGAGCCTGCACCAATCAAGGAATGTTGTACAAAATATAGAAAACTGTATCATGCGGATTGCCTGAAACTGTGAAAAAATTACACATGAGAGCAAAATAAGTTAAAAAAGTTTTAAGGATCTTTTGTTTGTTGCAGATTGCAGAAAGCCGCCACACGCATGGCGAAAATTTGACAACACTGATTAGGAGGGAAAGGAAAGGTGTTTAAATGAGGAAAGAACAAGCCTCAGCACCTTGAATCCGGTAGCAACATGTTGCATCTGGCAAGCTAACATGCCGGATTGCATCAGTTTACTTTCTTGATGTTGGGACTTGTTAAGCAGCAAAGAAGCAAAACTTTTAGGAAGTTGGGCAGAGCAAGACGAGAGAAGATGAGTTGTACCCAAAGCCACTAGGTCTCTGTTCTTTTCTAAGAATTCTGACGTGTCGTAAATAACCTGAAAATGCAGTTATATGCATATCATGAGATACACACACGAAATTGTTTACAAGTGTACGTTAACACATAATATGGAAGGTACATAGGAAAATACTAAATGAATTTCCAATGATGATTGAATCTTGTAGTGTTGCTATTCATCAGAGAGCTTGTAAAGATTCCAGAAAGGACCAGAAGTCAAACTAACCACTCCAGCACACTGGCGAATGCTGAATGTTCCACGTTTCTCTTCCTTAAAGTATTGGTTAGTGTTCAAATGGTGATTAAGTTTAGCTGCAAGGGTTGAACCCGTAGCCTTGGGAAAATCTGACACTTCATCTAGTAAAGACATCAGCCCAGCAGGTTTCTGTTGAAGCACAACAGTTACAGATTGCAGAAATGTTAAAAAAAAAAAAAAATAAAAAAAAAAAATTGGATGCAGTTACTAATTCATGCTCTGGCATGGACAGAATGAAAACTTCATTCTAGATTCTACGAGAATTTTTATGAAAGCCTTTCATTTGCTTCTCTTCGATGGAAGTTTGATTTTCCCAAAATGTATCCTAATTTTTGGCCTAATTCTTCTTCTGATGATCGATTCAACCTCTGACCGAAAAGATATACCTTGGTCATATTTCATCTCTTGAACAGAATTTCATTTTTTTCTATGCTCTCAACGTCATACACAACACTAAGAGTTAAAAGTAATATATGACAGCATATATGCAGAGAAAAGTGAAATTTATGCAAGTGAAATATGAGAATGAGTGTTCATCAATAGTTTCTAAGTTTAAGACAATTTGACCTTGCCCTAGATTAAATTATAGCCCTTGCACCCAAGATAGATTTTAATAACATCTGATCATTAAAAATTGGTCAGATACTCTGAGAGAGGAACCTCCAACTCAATAGCAGAAATAACACTACATATCAAGATTCTTGTAAATGGGTCACTGATATATTTTGTAAAGAAAGTACCTTCTCAAACAGATCCAAACAATCTTTGTTATCTTTAAATTCTACTTTTGTCCTGTCAACTCCATCTAATTCATACTCCTGCAAACAGAAAACATTGCAGCGTCAGTATTATAACAACAGTTCAAGTAGAGTTGCTATAAAGCAGGCATGCACAATGAGAGAACATCAACTAACACTTTGCATCAAGTTAATTGCTTGTTGTAAGCCATAAATCTTTCGTGGTTATCCCTTTCACAGAAATATAACACAAGGACACAACTTGCTCAAGTACATTTTTTAGGCCCATGAAAGTATGAACTGGCAGTCATGAACTACTTTCACTGATTAAGATGAGTGTATATCATGCTTACCGCTTTCTCAAGTTTGAAGAGATGCCGAGCAATATGCTGCTGGAGCTTCTCGTTAGCATAATTTATACAAAGCTGTTCCAAGCTATTTTTCTGGAACCAGATTGAAGCAAAAGAAGAAAAATTAGAGTGAGACAAAGTTACATCATCTCATGAAAGTCAGCAATATTTTACCTTACAAGATTCAAAACCATATATATCGAGAATATTTATGACTCCTCTGGTGTCATGTTTGCCCATGGTTAGTGATAAGTTTATCTTTTCGACCAACCAGTCAAACAAGCTCGAGTAGATAAACTTCGCCAATGCGTCTCTGGTATCAACTGCCTAAGTACGAGGTAATAACATCACATCATCAACAAAGACGACCTAGAGTGAGTTGCATGTGCATGTGGCGAAGGACGGAAGGACCCAAAGGATGTATTTGTGTAGTTTTGGAATTGGCTGTCCATGAAATAGAGAATATTTAAAAATGCTAACCTGATGTAGGGTCAGAGTTTTGGTGACTTCATCCTTTCCAGCTTTTACTTTGCGGGTTGATAAAGCAAGCATTAGGTCCTGCTCAGCACAACCTATCATGCTAGCAGCATTGGTGAGAGCTGTAGAAAAGAGAAATCATTTTATTAGACTATTAGCTCAATCAACGCAACTAAAAATATTGTTATTTGGTACACAGAAACTAAAGCAGCCCAACATGCTCGAAAAGAAAAGTTCTGCTACTCAAGATTATCAATGATGTCAAAATTATTTGTAATTTGACAGAAATCCACTCGAGCTAAATTGTGTATTCCACCTTGAACTGTTTCAAAGAAGATTGAAGTCACCATAACACTAAAGCTGTCCAAGAACATTTTGAGGTACCTTCATCAGCTACAACCTCTATGTGGTTTTGCTTGTCAGTTACAAGAAATGATATGTTTCCCAGCCACAACACTGCTGCAAGCATCTCAAAGGCATTCTCCTGATCTTCTTTGCAAATTTTTAAGGTATCTAATGCTCCCTAGTGCAACAAAAAGATCAGAGTTGATAAAACTTTGTAATAGAAATGAAAATGCATTAGAAAGCACAGAATTCTTAATTTCATCTTTAATCTCAATAGTTTAAGTCAGCCAGAAGCAGGAGAATTTCCTCGCCTAATATTCAAACCTCTTCATATGCAACAGAGGAAAGAGTGACAAATGTAAAATAAAATGCATAACATGTGTGAGGGATGTCACCAGTACCATAAGAACGTGAAACTTCTGAGCATCATCAATGTTGTCGATCTCCAAGCAATCACCCTGATTGAGATACTTGTAGTCAGATGCCCTTTTTAACCTCAATCTATCTGAATAAGGAATCATTTCATAAGTCCTAATCTAGAAAAGCATTTTACATTTCTTACAACGAAATAAATAATTGAGAGGATGTACTAGTCAAACAAAAGCCAGTGTTCTAAACGAAGAGGTTGAAAGAAGTGCAACGAATG